AGCCATCAGATTTGACAAATTTTGGGAGGTTTTCTGTTATGTCTTGAATATATACCCCAGTAAGATGCAGCCTATTATTGTTATGAGGTGAAACTATAAATACAAATATTTAGCACAATGGATAGAGCTCTGAACCTCAGGAAGACCTGAGTTTCATCCCTGCCATTGACAGTTACTAGCCGTGTGATCCTGGGCAAATCACTTAACTTCTGTCTGTTCCAGTAATTTTCCTATGTCAGTTCCCTGTCAAAAAAGCTCCAGTGGCTCCCTATCACCTCCAGGATCAAATACAAAATCTCTCCTTGTCATTCTAAGTCCTTCAAAACCTAGCCCCCTCCTATGTTTCTAATCTTCTTACCCCTTACTCTTGAATCCAGTGACATTGGCCTCCTTGTTGTTCCATGAACAAGACACTCTGTTTCTTGGGGCCAGGCATTTTCTCCGGCTGTCCTCCATGCTTGGAATTCCCTCCCTCGCCATCTCTGCCTACTGGCTTCCCTGACTTTCTTTAAGTCTCAATAAAAGTCCCATCTTCTACAGAAAGCCTTTCCTAACCCCTCTTAACTGTAGCGCCATTCCTCTTTGAATTAATTTCTATTCATTTTGTATATAATTTGTTTGTATATATTTATTTATTTGTTGTCTTCGCCATTTGATTGTGAGCTCCTTGAAGGCAGGGACTGTCTTTTGCTTCTTTTTGTATCTATAGCACTTAGCACAGGGCCTGGCACACAGTAGGCGCTTACTAAAGGTTCATTGATTGGGGATTGGATAGTTTCTCTTTCAAGCTTCACCCCTTTGTCATCAAGTGCCTATTTGGCATTTTGAATTAGATGTCCTAGAGATATTTCAAATACAGCATCCAAAACAGAGCTAGTTATCTTTCCCTCCAAATCTACCCCTCTACCCGTCTTGTAACGTTCTCTTTTAGTGTCCTTCCTGTCACCCAGGCTCGCAACCTCAGGTTCACCTTTCACTTCTCATTCCCATCATCCCAAGTGTTTCATCACTTGCTAAATCTTGTCATTTATTTTTCCACAAGACCTCTTGGATCTGTTCCTGTCTTTCCCCGCTCACAAATCTGCTACCCTCGTTCAGGTCCTTATCACCTCTTGTCTGCACTATTGTAATAGCTTTCCAGTTGGAGTCAGGAAACCCTGAGTTCAAATCTGGTCTCACTTACTAGCTGTGTGACCCTGGGCAAGTCACTTCTATCTGCCTCAGTTTCCTCATCTGTAAAATTGGAGATCATAGTAGCACCTACCTTACAGAGTTGTGAGGATAAAATGAGATAATATTTATAAAGTGCTTAGCATTGTACTTGGCAAATAGTAGGTACTTAATAAATTCTTGTTACACATTTTTAAAAGTCTTTCCCCAGGCCAATCAGCTTAATTAATAAATGCTGTTACAAATTTTTTAAAGTCTCCTCTCAGGCCAATCAGTTTTCCACATGCTGTCAGAGTAATTTTCCTAAAGCTCAGGTCTGACCATGTCTCTTCCTTTTACTCAGTAAACTCCAGTAGTCCCTATTGCTTCTAGGAATAAATATAAATCCCTCTGTTTGATATATAAAGCTCTTCACCACCTGGCCCCTTTCTGTGTTTCTAGTCTTCTTCTGCTTTACCTCCCTTCCCATACTCTCCAGTCCAGCCATGAGATCTCCTTTGTTGTTCCTCACACAAGATGCTCCATCTCCTGGCTCTCTACTTTTGTAATGGTTGACCTCAATTCCTGGAATGCTCTCTCTCTCTCTCTCTCTCCTTCTGCCTTTTTGTCTCCCCATTGATTGTTGGAAGTACAGGGTTATGGTCATATGAATGAAGAGTAAGAGACATTTTGAAGGAGGAGTGGAATGGATTCGATGTGGCCAAGAAGTAGAAAAGTGAGAGTCAAAGATGACTGAGACATAGGTGCCTTTGACATCCATATGGGATGTGCTGGAAAACAAAACAAAACAAAACCCAAACCATCAAACTTAAGTACTTGGAAGTAGTATTTTGATTACTTAGGTGGCTCTAAAATCCCATTGACTTGGGGCCCTGTTACAAATAGCAACCCTTCTGTGCAATTTTTATCTATGTCCTGTCAAAAATTGCTGTAGAAAATGTGGTTGGGAATGTTGCTTCTGCATATCACTCATCAGGGTGTGGAGAAGTCCTCAAAACCCCTTGATGGGTAGCTGCTGGAGTATTAACAGCTGTAGGCTGTTAACAAGGAAATGTGGGGAATGGGAGATGTAATTAGGGGCAGAGACTCATGTGGGGAAATAGGCGCTCTGGGAGGGAGCTGCAATTCAGGTCTCGGAATAAAAAGTTTTGCTCTCCCTTCTGTAAGGTGTGCCTACACATGGGACACCCGGCCTTGTTAGGCCGTTAATAAAAAGGCTTTTTTCTTCCTGGCTCACCAATGGCTTTGTGGAACTTTTGTTGCTAACAATTCCCATTTAATTCCATATTAATAATAATTCGCATCTATATAGTGTTTTGAGATTTCCTGAGTGCCATCATCACAGTCCTGTGAGATAGGCCAAATAAATATTATTGTCCCCTTTTTGGAGATGAGGAAACTAAGAGGGGAGGTCACTTACTCATGATCACGTAGCTAATGAGTGTTTAGCACGCTACCTGTGGGTACTCCCTTTTCCAGAAAGAAAAATGTTCAACTTTCTATAGTGCTTGAGGGCATAAAAAGCACATTCTTTGGAGCACCTCTGTCAAGTTGGTAGATAGGCACTTTTCTTCAAGACTGTTGAACAACGGAGCAAAGCTCTCCTTGAAGTCATCTCATGGGATAGCCTCGTGCTGGCATTCTGACTTTGGGTAGGCATTTTTCTCATGGTGTCATTGCCCCTCATAAAACTCCCCCAAAACAAAATACAGGCCCTATAAGTAGTCTCACAATCCCAGTGTTACAGACGCACGTGGCATTTTATGATGGTCTAAAGCAGTGCTTCATAAACTGTGGGGACATGGGGTTGAGACCCACAGTTTAAGAAGCACTGAAGAGGTTGAGAGTGGAAAAAGTTTAAGAAGCCCTGTCTAGAGTCTCTAGAACTGCTCCAGTGTTTTCAACGAATGCTTTAGACATTGAAGTTTAAAAACCATGGGCAGGAAGATAGGTGGCCTGACTAGTGACCACATATATTGTGTCATATATCCATCTATGATGTGACATAGGTTTGGGAATTTCTTGTAAAACTGTAAGAGGTGTTGATGTTGCCACCTTTAACCACTGGAGACCTTTTCCCTAGGGTCAAATTATATTTTTAGCAGGTACCATCAGGACCATCAGAAAAAAGCATTGAGAGTTTGCAAAGAAGAGTGAGAGAAAGCATCTTAAAAATTGTTTTCCCTCCAGAGGTGGCTGCTGCCAATTCATCCTGACTATTTTTGGCTTCTGCTTCAGCAGCCCCTTGGACTGACATCCCTGCTGTAGGCTGCCATCCCTGCTGTAGGCTGCCATCCCTGGAAAAGCCTTCAATTTGCTCGTGACCAGTTACGCAGTGTTCATGTCCCTTCCTTGGCTTCCCCTGCCAAAGCGGGGAGCAAAAGTCATCCTCAATGCCACCAATGACTAATCACCGAGAATATTTTTCTGTCTTTGCATAGCTAATGTTAAAATATATCACATTATTTCTTCAGATGGAAGACTTTGTATATGGCCAGGTAATGTTTTCCTATCTCAAGGGAGCCATCTGCAGGCCCAAGTAAGCACTGCCTGTCAACACCTATTCCATTGTGTCACTGACTGAACAGCTTGAAAACTTCTGATGGAGGATCACAGAATTGTAAGAGTAGGATGGGGCTGTAGAAGGCATTTTGTCTAAGCCTTGATCATGAAGCCCCATTACAGCTTCCTCAGCAGGTTGTTGAATACCTGCAGTGACGGAGAATTTGCTGCCTGCCTCTTGAGGCATTTCTCTTGGTATACTGCTTTGTCTGCTATTAGAACATATGTATTCTTTCATTCTTCATATCCCTAAAGCATAACACATTGTCTGGCTCATAAATCCATGTTGGTTGATTAATCTATAGTGAGGGGTTAGTTTCCACTTCCATATCCCAGTCCAGATGCCTTTCCTGAGGTCCACTTGAACATTCGTAGCTGCCTCCTGCCATTTATATGTCCCAAGGGACAGGGGATTGGCCTTGGCAAGGCAGTTTGGGACAGTGGGAAGTTCACCAGCCTTGGCAAGGCAGTATGGCACAGAACACCAGCCTCGGAGCTGGAAAACCTAGGTTCATGAGCAGGCTCTGTTAATACCTAGGTGACTGTGGACAAGTCACTTAAACCTTTGTTAATGTCAGTTTCCATTTTCTGTGAAATGGGCATGATAATTCTTTCCCCACCTTCCTCACAGGGTTGTTATGAAGATAGCACTTGATTTACAAATCTAGAGGATTTACAAAACTAGAGGAATGTGGGTTTTTACTGTTTTTTAACTTTTTTGAGCTTCCATTCCTTATTGTATAAAATGGGGATATATTACTTGCATTGCCTGTCTCCAAAAGACTTTTGGTGATCAGGTGAAATCATGTATGTAGACCACTTGGTAACCAAAAAGCCCTGTTGAAGTGTTTCCTCATATTTAATATATCTAAACCAAAGTTTTCATCCCTCAGACTTTGGGGATTTTCTTGGTGACTTCTGCTCTTTCACAGACAGCAGCAGCTTTGTTGTGGGCCACAGAATTTTGTTAGTGTTGTTTCATTTGCCTAATTGAAAGGTTTACTTCTATAAAGCAAAAAAATTCACCCCATTCAATTTTCTTGATAAATTATTTTTGCAACTGGAGTTTCCTGAAACAATACACACCTGCACTTTGAAGCTCTGTGGGTAGCATTAATTTTTTTCTTTTTCTCACTGCTTAGAAAATGGTGCATGTCTTTTAACATGCTAGACTGCCAGTATGTTTGTATGTATGTGGAATTTCTGGGTCATGGTCCTGCTTAACATGTATGGCAAAAACCTTAGCTACAAATTCTTTTGTCTTTTAGGAAGATCCAGCTTCCTTTGGTCAAGTACAGCTTTCTACCTTGGTGCTGAGAATCCTTAAAGATAGTGAGTCGGTGAGTGTTTTGATTATTTTTTTTTCTGCTCTCATATAAAAATCAATTTGTAGTACTCACAGACTTTAAGGTAGGAAGTAAGAGGCACTCCCTTCATAGATGGTCAACCGGAGAGCTCTGGTGGTAGCTACAAAATGCACAGGGTCCCAGAAGACCTTGTGGTATGTGACCTCTAGCACACTGGGTGGATCTTCTTGGGAGGAACTATAGAAGAACGTGGAAGAAAATCCTTCAGGGAGAGAAGGCATGGACGGCTTGTGATCTTCACGGATGGAAGGAGGCCCTACATGGATGTCACAGATACATTTATTTAGGGTTTTTTTTTTAGCATGTTCAGATCTGGTCCTGTCATTCTTGCTTTAAAATTTGTAGTGACTCCCTGTTGCCTCCCAAGTAGTATCAGAGCTTCTTGGCCTGGTGCTCAAGGGTCTGCAGAGCTGGCACCGCCCTGTCTTTCTACCCTAATCCCACTCTGGCTGTCACCAAGACACACTATTCTTTTTCCTTCAGCACCCCAGGTTTTCACCTCTGGGCCTTTGATCACGTTTTGACTCCTTGTTCATTGGATGTCTTCCCTCCTCCTTTTTGAATTTGAGTTCCTGTTGAACTCCACAGAGCTGCTGAAGTCAACACAAAAGTCTCCTCAGGGAATCCCTTCCTGACTCCCCCATCCCTTGCCAAGTCAGAATGCCCTTTCTTCCCCTGAGACCCCACAAAGCGCTTTGTTTTGCCCCTCTGATGGATGTTCTGCTTCAATCCGTGTAGTTTAGTTGCCTGTGTATGTGTCATGGAGAGAGCTGCAGCTTTGCAGTCAGAAAGACCCAAGTTCAGGCTCAGCCTCTGACACACATTGCTCTTCTGGGCAAGCCTAGAAAACTTTCAGTGCCCCAAGCAAGCCTGTACTGACGGTGAGTTTCAGAGCAGGTGTTGATTTGCATTGTTTGAGGGAGTTTCCCCAACTAGAGGTCCTACACTAGTGAAATTACAGGCCTGGATGAAAGATGAAAGCACAGCTCTCCATGAGCCCAGATAACCAGGCCTTTTCTTAATCTTCTTTGTGGCCACTCCAGTTCTCTGTATATCATAGGAGCTTCATAAATACTTGGTGAGCTGAGCTAAAGCATTGTGTTGTGTTGTGTTGAGCTGAGCTGTGCTCAGCCGATGTCACTACTCCCTACTCTCTTACCCACCTCAGCTCTAGGGAGATGGGGAAGAGCCTTGAACCTAGAGCCTGGATCTAAGCCATGAAAAGCATGGCCCCTCTCTGAACCTCAGCTTCCTAATCTGTAAAATGGGATGAGAATAAATGAAGAGTTAGTGTGGAGATCACAGGAAAAAATGTACTTTAAAATGCTTTGTAAACTGTGAAGTGGTATCATTGTCACTTTACTTTTTAAGCTGCCTGGGTCTGGAAGGTTTTCCCTATGCTCTCCAGCCTCTCAGACTCGCTGGCTTCTGCAGACCTCAGCTTGAGAGCTGCTTCCCCCATGAGGCTTTTCCAGCCCCCAGCCTAGTAAATTGTCTTGTATTTATTTTGGATGTACTTAGGCACGTATATCTCCCCTGAGGTAATGGCAGCTCCTTGAGGGCACAGGCACTGTTTCATCTTGGTCTTTGTATCCCCAGCGCCTGTGTGCACAGTAGGCCCTTAATAAATTCTTGTTAATTGATTGATTGAAAAGATCTCTTTCTCTTCAAGTCTTTTGATCATGTTTAGAGAAGAATTAATGAAAAATGAACGAAGGAAAAAGCATTTATGAAGCACTTGCTAGGTGCCAAGCCTGGTTTATGGCGCAAGGACTGAGTGAGGAGTAAGGAGGGGCTTGTGAGGAAGAGGAAGGGGGAATGGGCATGGAGGCAGGGAGCTGGAAAGGTCATGGAGGAAATGGGCAAAGAATAGGAAGAAAGCCAATCCTCTGAACAACTGCTAATCTCCCTTTGTCCACAAGAGTTTCTGAAGAGCTAGTACCCTCCCTCTCAAACTACTTTGTAGGTAACTATTAATTATCATAATACAGCTAACACTTACATAGCCACGAAGCATTTCACAAATATTTTCTCATTTTATCCTCACAACAACCCTTCGAGGTAGGTGCTGTTATCATCCCTATTTTACAATTCAGGAAAGTGAGGGAAACAGAAGTTAAATGACTTGTTCAGCGTCACACAGCTAGTAAGTATCTAGAGCTGGATTTCAACGTCCAGTGCTCTGTGCACTGTGGTGCCACCTAGCTGCCTTTTTGTATATATTAATGTGTATTCACTTTATATTTATGCTATGTGTATACCCACACACACACACACACGTACATATACATAATATATATAGACACATATAGAAATATAGACACATACATATACAAATATATATACACATATATAGATACATGTAGGGGTGTGTGTGTGTGTGTGTGTGTGTGTGTGTGTGTGTGTGTGTGTATGTGTACTTGTTTCCGCCATTTGAGTGTGAGCTTTTTGTAAGTGGGGATTTTTTCCTTTGTTGTGCTTCTGTCCCCAGTGCCTAGCGCAGTGCCTGCCATATCAGAAGTGCTTGCTAACTTCTGGTTGACTGGTTAGTTAGATGGAGGAGGAGCAACCACAAATTTAGAGGAATTTGCCCACCTCATCTATGGCACACTTGCTGCCCAAGCTATTACTACAACCAGATGGTTTGTAGGATAAAGAGAGGGCATGAAAATTACGTGGGCCCAGTGTCTGCCTTCCTTGGTGGTGAATGGCCATCAGGCAAACAAGATGTCATTTTCCCCCTTTTGACCATTAAAAAGGTAACAGCCTACTGACTCAGCCCCATACTGGATTGCCTACCTGCTAGGTTGTGTTCCTTAACTTCCCTGGATAATTTATTTTATGGGCAGTAATCTGAACATCAGTGAGAGGGTATAGCTGAGATGGCTCCAAGTCTTTTCTTTGCTGCAATATTTAGTGGTTCTCTCTTGCCTCCTGAGTAGAGTTCAGATTGTTCTGCTGATTGGTGAAGTTACATTCTGGTGCTGTTCTCCCCTTCTAATGGTACCTCATGTTCCTTCCTGTCATGTACACGGAGTACACCCAAACCAAATGATTCTCCTCTGTTCCCCAAACATTTCCTGTGTCTTTGAACCTTTGTTCATACCCCGGCTTCCTTCTCTTTGCCTTTTGAATCCTATTCTTTAAAACCCAACCCGACTGCTGCCTCCTCCACAAGTTTTTCCTGACCTAGTCCCAATTTTTTTCCCTCGGACCTTACACAGCACTTTGTTTTATGCCTTGCTAAGGCACTTATGCATTATTGTGTATTATAATCATCTGTGTCTTGTGTCTTCTTTAGCAGTGACATATCATTCAGTGCAAGTAGATGCTTCAGAAATGTTTTTTTTTTTTTAAGGTGAATTGTGGCCTCTCCATCACCAAAGCTGGAACTTTTCTTTAGGCTGCTGTTTTCCAGGGGGTAAGGGAAGTTAAAGGAACTATTAGTAGTCAGAAAAAAGTGATAGGGTTGTAGTATTTTAAAGTTGGTAGAGGTCTAGAAAAACCCCTGAAGCTATACCCTCAATTTACAAATGATGCTTCAGAGGGAAATGACTTGGCTAAGGTCACATAAGTAATGAGTAGCAGAGTTGAGATTCAAACCCATGTGTTATAACTCCACGTTCAACGTGATTTCCATTATATGATCAACTGGCGTTTCTTTTTAAAAATGTCAATCCTGCTACCCATGTGGGAAAGCAAAACTTAGAAGTTATCATGGAGCCTCTAATATTGTTAGTCTAAATGCCATTGACAGGATCATAGCATTTAGAATCATAATTCTTGGAAAGAAAGGTTTTTTAAATTGCACATATGATCAAACAGTTAAGTGGTACAATGGGTAGAGTACAGGGCCTGGAGTCAGGAGGACCTGGATTCAAATCATGACTCAGACACTTACTAGCTGTGTGACTTTGGGTAATTCACTTTACCCTGTTTGTCTCTGTTCTTCATCTGTCAGATGACTTGGAGAAGGACATGGCAAACTACTCTAGCATCTTTGCCAAAAAAAACCCAAATGGGGTCATGAAGAGTCAAATGTGACTGAAAAAACTGAACAATAATGAATGATCATACTATTTGAGATTTGGAAGGGATATAGATTACCTTGCCCAACTCCCCATCTAGTGTGGGAATATCTCTTCCATTTTCTTCTAAAAACTCTCTGGTGATGGGGAAGCTCTTTTTCTGCAGAGGTAGCCAATTCTATTGTGTGATTGTGGGACAGCTCTTAAATTTAGTCCTTCTGCAATTCTTTTATTGTGCCTCCCACTTCTCACTCCTTGGGCCTAGTGTGCCTTCCTAGAGATGTGTAGGAAAAAAATCTGTTCCTTCTTTCCCATGACAGCTTTTTGGATATTTGAAAACATTGATCATACAACCCTTGCAATCTTTTCTCCTTTCACATAGCTTTCAGATACTCCTGGATATTCTCCAGTTGGTCAACTTCCTCCTGAAGCATGGTCTCCAGAACTGAACACAATCCTCCGGATGGGGCCTGGACCCCACAGCAGAGGACAGTGCATTCCTACAATCCCCTCTTGATCTGGATGCTAGATTTAAAATGAGAGAATGTTAGAAATTGTGGAGACCTCACAAATTTACGTTAGCATTGGATTTGTTTTTTAGCATCTACATCATACTTGTCTCATGTGAGCTTGCAGTCTTTTGAAATGCTCATGCTTTTTTCACATGTGAACTCCTTTGAACTAGGTCTCCCCCATTTGTACTTGTTGTAGTTGATTTTTAAAAACCTAAGTGAAAAGCTATTATATTTTCCCTATGAAATTTCATTTGGCTACAGCCAGTTTTCCTGCCTGTAGAAATCTTTTTTTCTGGCATTAATTCACAGTCTCTCCACTTGGGGTGCCAAACTATAATGACAGTAGCTCACATTTATATAGCACTTAAGGTTAAAGGCTTATTTAGTCCAGCCTCATAATCAGTGGATCTGTGAACCGTTTCGGGTTCAG